TCTTCCAACGAGGATGCAGTAACCCTGAATTAGAATCTCACCCAGAGCTCTGTCGCCGCCTCCCACAAACGGCTTTCCCCCTTATCTACATCTCGGCGTAGGAAGGCTGAGTGAAACCGTTTCGCAAAATGCCACTGCACTCCAACTGCACTCCACAGCACGCAGTGTTGCAATATAGGAGATTTGCTGTTACTTTCGCCATTTTGCGTGATTTAAGAAGAAATTTAGAAAGAGCAAAATGTATAGAATCTTTCACGTGTGACGATTTTTATAGCAAGTGTGTGACAAAATGTATAACTATTCTGAAACTTGATTTAGTAGACGTAGGTAGTTAATATTAGCGTGATTAACTGCGTAACAATTAATGGCATTTGAAACAATTTAAAATTTATTGATGTTTCGATATGAAAATCTTAATTATTAGTGGAACATCACTGAATGAAAAATGTATTTTAATTGTACTAATAAAACAGGAAAACTTTCACGAAAAACACATGAAACTTCCTTCTTTCCCCTCTTTCTGTTATGAAGATCCAATGACTAACATCACTTCAATATGAAAAGCATAAATGAACACTAATTTACTATTGAAATTATTGCTAACAAAAACAAATTAGTGCTTTGTTTACTTTCGAGAAGTCACAACGCGAATAAATAAAAGGGAAAAAGAAATGTAGGTGTTCATAGGTGAAATATACAACAGATATTGTTGTCCTTGATGGTTAATGTTAACTCAATAATACAAAAGCGTAACCTATGATTTATTCTAGCATTGAATATAATATATTGCAAGAAGAAGACACATTCAATAATATATAATGGAGTCAAGATGTATGTACCCGTTAAGTTAATGTTTATTTAGCAATACACAAGTGTGTGATTAAAGGGGATCTTTGTTGTATTGATTCTGTATTATATAGTATTAAATAAAACGCATGCAATTTTTCAAATTAAGAGCCTTATTTTCTTACTGAACGACAGTGACACATTCATCAATAGCTGTCCAGTCCACTTTTGCAAAAGTGGAAGCTGGAGAACTGTGTTGAAGATTGACGAAAGTGGAACAGAACTATGTTCCTTCGATGGAATGAAATTCGCGATTCTAGCTTCGTAGACAAGAAGGTTGTTGTTTAATCTCAACGGTGACTAATTTTTGACACCAGTACGACGAATAAAATTAGAAGGCGGTTGTCAGTTCGTGGTCACACGATAATGCCTATGGCATAACTTAGTCAACAAAATGTGGCTAGTGTTCTCGTCACAAATGTCAGAAGAAAATGTATCGCCGACCTTCAATGTCGAAGTTAAGCAGCTGATTATTACAAGTGCCGAGAGTGAGGTTAATTGTGTCACTGTATGTCGCGTGATTGTCAATTTTGAGTAGCGTATGTTGTTATGTCGTCATTGTTAATCTGTTATCGTAGAGTGGTAGCTACACCGCAAAAGTGGTAGAACGCGTTTGACGTGCCAACGCAATCACCCCAGCTATACCATTTGTTAATCACCTAATTTTATTCGTAACCTGCGTAGCGAGTAAGTTACGTCCAAATCCACAGCGTCGATTAAAAAAATTGATTCGATGTTCGTTTTCCTCCGCTCTATTCCTAAAAGATCCCGGAACTTTAATTAAGCACCACATATAGTACGCGATTGTTCCTTTCCAATTACCTTCATGTAACACTTTATATTACGTAATTTTAAAGAAACAACAGATTTAGAGTTAGAGACGAAACTTACTTGAATCTAGGGTATTTCTTAATACCCGCACTCTTTTCGCGTAATGTATAACTTTACAAGGAAAGATAGATGTAAATACACAGCCATTTAATATTAACAACAATTTTGAAAATAATAAATACCGCTTTGTAAGAAATGTAGATAAAATCTAATGAACGAGAGCAAAATACAAATTTAAAGAATTCTTAACGCATCTCAAACTTTAACGCGATTCAAAGAGAAATATGTTAAGTTAAAAAAATGAAGAAATTATAATTATCAGTTGAATTTTTTTTGAATCCTATGAACTATGCATTGTGTATTGCCTTATTGAGTTACTACATTTCAATCTGTTGCTCATCATATGTGTTTAAATAATGGAAATTAAACAGATTTGAAGGCAAATCTCTTCGACCGCATTTTGCGTCTTTCAAACCACTGCGCCACGCGTAGGATCCTGCCGACCCATTTCTGGAATCGATTGGAGACTTCGGCGCCGCTGAGTCTCCCGCATCTGGCTCCGCGCCGCTCGGCTGCGCCCTTGGCCTTCCACTGCGGACTCTAGCAGCGTTTGAAGGCGCGCCAACTTCTATGGTCATTAGCCCCGTTAGTTTTAACGTACGAGATGGCAGTTTCCTCGCCCGCGGGAACGAGAGATCTGGACCAGACCTTCAGCTCTGCTTTTAGGGTTTTACTCAGTCAGGAGTCCCCCAGTGAGGCACGGCCAGGGCTGGGACAAGCACTAAGCTCCAGACAAATAGTGTATCCCCGGCGGCTATAACTAGTGAATATCGAAAACTAACTTTACTTTGCTCTTTCTTAATAACTCTGCATCTTTAAAATGAAACCATCATAACATAATATCCACCAACGCTACAAGATTTGAATGAATTTTCATGTAAGAATTAGAAGTATTAGCCCCTTGAGGTGATGACAAAAGCAGTGGGAGAATAGTAACGACTAGAATATTTTCACTCAGTGAAAGTTTAATGAAACTGAAAAAGTTTAATGAAATATCCGAACATAACAATAATGTGCAAAATAAACACACCGTACATAGTAAACAAGTGGGTCATTGATAAACGTAAATTTTAACTAGTTCAATGCAAATAAATTTCCCAACCGTGTATTACATTTTTTCATTCATTAAATAAAAATTTTATGTTGACAAAAATTACACATATGTTACGGTTTTCCTAGTCGTAATGGTTAATTACACAATTTCAATTTCAACACTTAAATTTATATGTCTGTGTATAGCTTTTAGGGATATTCGGTAAAGATTATATTTATTCCGCAGATCCACAATTTCACTATTGATAAAAAGAAAGTAAACGAATGACAGCCGTGAACTCCATTTATCCGCTTATCCGTTTCAATTCAAGGGAAAGCAGAGAGAAAAATGAGAACATCTCAATGCTGAATGTTTCTGTTGCAATACAGCTAAGGAAAATATGGGAAACTTCCTACCTTTCATCCTTTCTCAATATGACTGACAAACGTTATGTAAAACGCATCCCACTCAAAGTAATACTGTATGTTGGCAAATCATTTATGTAAACGCTCTGGTAATAGAGCAATTTGAGGTCATTTACCTCGTATAAAGCGTTGTTAAAACATAACTATAATTTACGATATTTTATTAAATTAATTAATTTTGATTGTCAAAACCAAAATTTAAACTTCACAAATATTTCTGAAATGTTTATAATGAACACTTTAACAGAACTTTTTTATGCTTCTTAGAATGTAATTCTTCCAATAGAAACGACTATTGCTCAATTGATAGCCAGATTAATGTAAAGTAATTTTGGTAACCCAGTGTAGACCAATAAAGACTTTCTCACAGAACATTTTTCAATTAGTGCTAATTACACGCATCTATTTATTTCAACAAAATATTCTCTTCAAACTTCGCACAATAATATCAGAAACATCGAAGGTAAATACAATAGTAAATTATAGACATATTCCAAAGACTACCAATAACAAATTCAAATCCAGGGAAAATCTTCAGAAATTCTGACAGATCAATAATTATTTTCATATCTGCAGTATACAGTATTATTGAAGGCCACTTTTCTTTGCAAAACTTCTTCGTATCTATTACGTTGCACGTTTTACTTTGAATTCAATGTTCTTATGAGATTATAAATAATGAGTTTCATTTTTGATAAAACTGGAAAATACATTCTATTAATTAGGTTTTCTTGGATTCTATATTCAGAATTCAACCATTTGAACATATTCGATTCAACTTCGTGCTTCTACAAGTGCTTCATACAGTTAAATTAGTTCTTTATAAAGTTCCACTGTGTAGTTAAGTGGTGATAATGATTAACATTGCTACTTGAATAAGAATGCCTGAAAATGGAAATTAAGATATATTTCTTAATTACAGGTAATTATTTTGACGGTTACCACGTTTGAAAATTTCACACTTCAATTGTTATCACGAAGTACCTTCCATCATTCGCCATGAAGAGAAAAATATTTGAGTTGGCAATATTTTTTAGTACACTGATGAATCTGCACAATGACATCCGGAAAATATTTATTTTTAATACAATCCGAAAGGCCCCACCAGTCGGAAGCCACCAGGAATCAGGCCCGAGTCTCCCTACGTAAAATAAGACATTAATTCAATACAAAGTTTTCGTTTGTTCATTACCTGTTTATCTAGTTATAAAATTGTTAAATAAAAAGTGCTTAAAATATGACATCAGATTTCGAATTTTTCATAAACATGCTAAAACCATATCCAAAATAAAGGATTATACGTCCAATAAAAATAGTTCATTTTCATCATAATGCTAAGAAGAATGTTCATATCCCTTTAAAATATTAAATGATTATGAGGTAAAATATCAAAATTACCTGTCCACAACTTATTAATTATTTCATTATTGATGGAGAACAAGAGTAAACTAGGAACGAATTGCTCTCTCAAGTACCCGCCGTTATTGACATGAATTTTTTTCGCTGGAAAACAACCGTTCCGCCAATTACAAAGTGATTTTATGTAAAACTGTTAAAAGTTATGACATTACACTTCGAATTTTTCATAAACACCCTAAAACGATGAACAAAATATGGGATTATACGTCCAATAAAAAAACATGTTATTTTCATCATAATGAGTTCATGTTCAAATCATATCACTCCAACAAACATTAAAAACAATGAGGTAAAAATGTCATTAATACCGGCTTTCAAGTGATCGATTATTACATTATTGACGGAGGACGTCAGCCTAAATCGAGATCGAATTCTCTGCAACGTACCTGCCATCACTGGGCCCGGCAGCCGCCCTGCCCTCCCGCTGTTGCTGCTTCACCTTCTGGTACGCCTGCTTCCACATCGCGGTTCCGCTCGGAGCTTCTATTGGCACGCTAGATCCTTCCACCGCGACGCCGCTACACGGACTGAAGGGAATACCGCCGGAGACGGCAGCGCAGCAGTGGCAGACACGGCCGCCTGAATCACCGCGCGGGGCGTAGCCAATGGGGAGGCTTCCTTCGAACGGCGGCGGCAGCGCGTCTGCAGGGGGCTGTGAGCGAGCCCTTCCGGGGAATTCCGAAGGCCAGGGAGTTTGAAGAATAGCAAATGCGTGTATAATGACGCCTTTTTCAGATATATTATATCAGAACTAGATTCTTGTTTGAATACGATAAGAAATCTTCTGAGTATTATTACCTACTCAATGATAATTGAAAAAAATTACTTTAGTTCCTTTTCTTTCCGTTGACGCCCCAACGGAGTTGGGCCAAGTTTGTACACGGGCCAGATATTCACACAGGTCCTCTCAGTATTGCATTCTGCCAGTAGCGTAGTTTTAGTGGCTAAACTGATCGCATCACCCCCTAAATTAAAAATATATTTTACTGAACTGTTTATTAATTATTTAATAAAAATACAGCATATTTTCTCGAAGTAAGTCAAGTCTTTTCTACACAACTGCTGCAATTAACACCCCGTTTACCGATGTCGTTATAACAAAGAAATTCGATATAAATAATACGCATGATTTTGTTATTGACCTTTTGACCTTTTATTTTCATCAACAGTTCACCCATTAAGATAAGTAATCGTTTAAATCGAGTCTCGCTGACAATTAAATAATAGGAGCTAACCGCTTAAAGTTTCACGATTTAGTTTACGGTATTTTTTTCTTTGCTTTCTTAATATTTATGATTTAAATGCATAACTATTAAATTAATACATACATAATATTTAAATAAGTCATTAAAATTATATTGTTCCCACAATAAAATGTTCTAATTGGTGTCAACCCTAAAATGGTGTCAACCGGGGTAGGCCGCCCCCTACCTCAGTCCAACTAGGCCACTGCCTTCTAGAGATGCCATTCTACACCTATTCAACTTCAAATTAAGAAGAAACACAATCAAATTGATACCAAACAACACCATATTGAGAATTCGCATAATCATTTTGAGACTAGTCCCTTTCAATTTGAGAATAAACAATTTCAAACTGAGAAAAAACAATGAATCGGTTATTATTTTAATATTGATTGAATAATCAGTTGTGTTTTCCGAGTGATCAAAACTTGAGATCAACATGCCGTACATTTAGAGATTGGAAGCTGAAAGTGTAAAACAGCAAATTTTTGTTGGGTATAATAATAACGGTGATTGGAAAGGCCTGGCTAATACACTTGGTGTTAAAAAAATCGACCGCATATTGTTGGGTGAAAAATCAAAATTAACTTCCAAAACCACGAGTTGGTAAGAAGAATATGAAAATTGCGGAGGAACATTGGACCTTCATGATTAAATATATTGAAGAAAATTCAAGAATTACACCGAAAGATCTAAAACTAAAAATGGAACAAAACCATCAAATTGTGGTTTCAACAGAATGTTTGCGGAAACATTTGGATGGTTTGATGTACACACTGAAAGACATTCGTAGAGATCCTGAAAAAAGTAATAGTGTTGGGACGAAAACAAACGCCGTGAGTACGTGCTGCAACTTTTAAATTATCAAGCGGATAACATCCCAATTTTATACATGGACGAAACAAATTTTAATTTTTTTATTTCAAGGAAGAAAGGACGATCGAAAAAAGGTACTCGATGCATCTACATAACATCAGGGAGCCCTGGAGCCAATGTGCATGTCATAGGTTGCATGAGTGCTATGGGACTGATTCACCATCAAATTAGAAGAGGCACTTTTAGAAAGGAGGAAGCTAAAGAATGTATGCGCCAATGTCTGCGTGCTCCATTAACCGTGTACCACTCGTTTGCTGTATTAGTAATTGATAATGCTCCCTGTCATTGTAGTGTGGAAGACATACTCATAGAAGAATTCATCAACCATCACTTACTAAGGCTTAGTCCTTACAACCCAATGTTCAATCCGATCGAAAATGCCTGGTCTAGCCTCAAGGCTGCTGTTAAACGAGATATGTGTGCAGAAATGCCCTAAATTTTAGCTGATGAAGACAGGGCAAATATATCGCATACTGAGTTTCGTCTTCGTCATTAGAAAATATTATAAATCATAACATTGAAGTAATAAATGCTAATAATTATGCAAGATGTGTCGCTAATGTCCAACGATTCATTCCTGATGCCTTAAATTTAGAAAATATGGTTATGTAAATTATAATTGTGTTAAAAAAATGATTTTGATTAATGTGTTCGTGTCATAAATTAAGCTGATTTTGTAATGTAACTTATTAATAAAATGTTAATGAAGTTGGTTCTGAGGAATGTGTCCACAATTTCTTCATTTTATTGTGTTTATTTACATTCTTTGGACTCAAATTTACAATTTACAACGTAACTTCAGATAGATTTCAATTTGAAATTGCTTAGTCTCAATTTGAAGATGATAGGTTTCATTATGAATGTGCTTAGTCTCAATTTGATTGTATTCATTCCCAATTTGAAATTGTTTGTACTCAATTTGATGTTGTAAAGGTATAGAACTTTGGGGATCAGTCACGTGGTAGGTCCATCTCCAAGCCATCAGGCTGGCAGACAGGAGGGGGAAAGAAGGACCGCACTGTCATTGGCTCGTTGTTTAAATTACTGTTCCGGCATGCGCCAGGAGATATGAGGAAATCACATATCAGATCATAGACAAATCAGAGTTTACTGGTCTATTGAAGGTGAATCACAAATCACGCTTCGGAACTCTTGGAGCAGCCTGCGATAGGGATATGATGATTTGGGTATGTGCCCTGTTTTTAGCGAAATCGTAAAGCCTGGCTAGCGAAGGAAGTGACTCAACCCCGTTATAACAAGTCCTTGCGATTCAAAACACGAGCCACCAGTTCAGGCGCTTCGTTGAAGGCGACAATTCCGCTATTCTTGTCGGCTTTTACATGTAATTTATTTACTGCAGCTTTCACCACTCCTTTTTTTCAGAACTATCCTCCAGAAGGCTTTGCCGCTGACGGGCAGGTCTAAGCGACGGGCGGCCGCACCGTGTGCTTGTATTTTGCGGCGGGCATCAGTGCAGCACGTATGTGTGTGTAAAAGACGGAGAGAGAAAGGAGAGAAAGAAGAGAGAGGGAGAAAGAACAGAGATAATAGAAGAGGAAGAGAGAAAGAGAGGGAAGAAAAAGAGAAGAAAAAGAGGAGAAAGAAGAGAAAGGGGAGAAAGAGAGAGAGAGAGAGGGAGTGGAGCAGTAGGATGTGGGAACAAGTACAAATAAGAAGAGAGGATTGTCTTGCCGCCCCAATGTTCTTCGTTGCGTCCATCCTTACTTCGTTCTTTTCGTCTTTACCACATACTGTTTTTTTCGTTGCCGGTCAACGACTATGATTATATTCTCTGTATAAGTTTAATGCTTATGATCTCTGAGGCTGGATCGTCTGTCTCTCCAGGACCACGTCGCAGATCGTGAGATTCGCGGATAACCAAATCTTCTCGGGCGGTCTCGCGGAGGATTCCCCTCCCCCATGGTTATCTCCAAAAAATGGAAGCACCGGCCCCACCCGAATACAAAAGCTCTATCACTAAGCTCCCGACTGCTCCCCATTGTCGAGTTCCCAGGTAGTTCGTCCATCGCCTGTGTTTGTGAGAGAGGGATGAGCATAGGGCACGATCGAGCGCCGACGTTCCGTGGTAACGGTTTGGTTCAGTGGTACTGGACCTCTCGGATGATCATGTAGTTGAGTAAAACACCACGGAAAACTCCCGATTCAGTGGCAGCTGGCCGCTATTAATCTTCTGCCGAGAGCTATTACTTAATAATTCTCATAATATATCGTTATTCAATATTCATTATTATCAATATCATATATTAATCAATTGTCTCATCATGCCTGCATAAATCCATTATCTCTCCCGTGTACAATTAATTCTGGTCAGTTTAGGAATTATTATAATTAAATTGTACCTACACGGATCACATTTCTAAAATCAAAGACAGGCAATCGATTAAATAGTAAATAAACAAAACCAATACTCGATATGAAATTGAAACAAAAGAATTTAGATACAGTGTCGATGGACATCTACACTTAAGAAATACGACTGACGTTTCATTGTGGTGAAATAAAAACACACTCAACAACGGTAATACATTTTAAAGAAAAAGAAAGGTTTATCTAAAGAATTTTAATACCCTTAAAAAAAATACTTATTTAATTTACAGATAGTTTTAGATTTACGGCAGTCGTTGTGTTCTTCCACTTGATTATTTTCCTTATACAGCGAAATTCAGTTCTCTTGATTATTTATTTAACAGTTCACTTCTTCTACACTATTTATTTACCTTTTTCCTGCAATCTATTATTTAGTTACAGTGAGCCCTTTCTTCTACAGTAACACGCCATTCCGATTCCCGACGTTCTTATACCCATATAATTAGAATCTAATAACCAGTGGATCAGAAAAGGGAATAAGATTAATATATAGATAAGAATAAGATATTAGATTTTGAGACTAATGACCATTTAATGTATTAATAATACCATTCTCGAATTGTAATCAATTGTAAAGACCAGCATGTAACAAGTATTTGTACTTCAGCTTTTGGTCAAAATGACCCCACATTTCGAGCAAGGTTTTTGCGATCCAGTTTGAGCACTGATCCTTGATACAAATGCTGAGATGGTCCCCTTGTTTTGCTTTTGGACATTAAATGTTACTTCTAATTAACTTCTCCCAGTAGCACGTCACACATCCAGTTTTTTAACTTGTTGTTTTGACGTAACTAAATAAATAAATATTAATAAATAAATAAATAAATAAATAAAAATAAATTAAAATAAAATAAAGATAAATAAATAATATAAATAATAAATAAATAAAATATAAAATAAAATAATAAGTAAAATATAATAAATAAATAAATAAAATATAATAAATAATAATAAAAAATATAAAAAATATATAATAGAATAATAAATTAAAAATAAATAAATAAATAAATAAATAAAAATAAATTAATTATAATAATATAAATATAAATAAATAATAAATAAATAAAATAAATAATAAATAAATAATAAATAAATAATAAAATTAAATAAATAAATAAATAAATAAATAAATAAATGAAATTTTTCCTTTATTCTGCAGTCTCCAAAAGTGGTCCGTGCTTGCACAGGAGCTATGCTATTCAAGATAGCGGAACCA